TCAGTCCTCGCAGCCATTTTCCTTGCCAGGAGATTTTTGTCTGTTTCGCGTCCCCGTTGTTTGTCACGTCCCGTCCCGTGTCACGGGTGTCTGCACATATTTGTGCCGGAGCTGCTCTGCCCTGCCGCATAGCCCGGTGCAATAGGAGAAGTCCCGAGGACTTGAAGTTTGTAATGTGGGGTGTAGTTGGACTCTAGATGGGATTTGTAGATGGACACAAGATATCTGGAGCTCTTAAGTTATCCTGCAACAGTTTAACTCTTGTCCTAACTTTTTTTTCAGATTCAGATGGATTAAATCCGTGCCAGAGGGCCCCATCCCGGGTGAGTGGTTTCCCCCGAGCAGGTGAGGCACCATTTGTCTCTGCAGCAGAAGTGTATGTGGTGACTCTGTTACAGCTCTGTTCTTTGTCTTTCTTTTTAGGAATTAAGTCTGGATACCAGCAGTCAAGGTGAGCAGTGGAGCGGAGTAGCTGTTATTGCTCCAGTCTCAGTTTCTGGTGCAGCTCTCAGCTTCCATTCTCTTTTTTGTGCTTTAGGCAATCCACTCGGAGCCTGCCAAGCTCCCGTCACCAGCCGGCCGATGCACCGGGTTCCCTGCACGTGTGAGTCCTGTGGATGCGTTACAGGACCTGGCGATGAAACCCTGAACTCTTCTATTTAAAGGTGCCATCCAGGTGGCCTTCAGCAGCTGCCAAGGAGTTGCGGTGAGTAGGGGAAGTAGGGAGGGGGAGCGAGGGTCCACTCAGGTTTCAGCCATGCCAAATCACCTCATCTCTCTTAACCCAGACACCCCCTGTGACGATGGCTTCGGTCTCTGAGCGTGCCTGAAGCGTGCGGCCCGAGCAGCTGAGCGTTCTTAGGAGCACGGTGAGTAGCAGACTTGTGGGGTTTTGGCCGATGGGCTACCAAGATCGGGCACTGATGTTTGGTTTTCTTTAATACAGCTGTCTAAGAGACAAAAGCCCGGTGCCAGCAGGAGCTTCCCAGCTGACGAAGCGGCCTTTCTTCGCACCCGAGACCAGCATCCCCAGATGCGTGAGAGATAAGTAGAGGGCCACGACCCACAGAGGGGATGAAAGCAGGGTGCAGGTTTGGGAATTACTGGGAGGGGTTTTTGAGTCCGCTTTGGAGGTGGGGGGTGTCCATGAAGCGGCCCCTTAGGCCCCATAAAAGCAAAGCCTGACTTTTCATCACAGTGCTGAGGTGTGCAGGGCAGAGCAGTCCTGGTGTGTATCGTGTCACTTGTCTTTTGTGTATTATGTGTTGTTTGCATATGTCATGTCTTTTACCTTAGGCCTTGGAGGGGCCTGTCAGAAACCCTGGCATCATTGTTAGCATCTGTGATCTCTGCATTCCTTGGCCTGGCATCAATGCCATAGAACTTTCGACTCAGGAGCTCAGACAGGCATCAGACTCTCTTGTCTCTTTAGAAGCATCCGGTCAGATGTCTTTTCAGGTCTTGGTCTGAGCTGTATGGACAGCTATGTCCCGCCAGGATCCATTAAGGCGGACTTGGACTTGAAAGAACGTGAGGGCAGGTAGAGGCTTCTGGCTGTATGATTCTCAGGCATCCATTTTTTCAGTTCTTGGAATAAATCATTCAGTTAGCATCTTCTTCCTTCAGTGTTTTCTGAGCCTCGTCAGCTCACCATCGGTCTCACCTCAGTCATCTCATTTGGCATCTTCTCAGTCCTTGCAGTCATCCTTCTTGCCCAGAGATTTCTGTCTGTGTCGTGTGCCCATTGTTTGTCACGTCCCGTCTTACCTGTGTCACGGGTGTCTGCACATATTTGTGCCGGAGCTGCTCTGCCCTGCCACATAGCCTGGTGTAATAGGACAAGCCTCAGGGAGTTGAAAGTTGTAATGTGGGCTGTACTTGGACTCTAGATGCTATTCCTATATTGACCTAAGGTGTTTGTAGCTTTTGAGTTATCGTGCATGTGTTTGACATATGTTCTAACTTTCTTTCAGGTGCAGTTGCATTGCATCCATGGCAGAGCCCCCCATCCTGGGTGAGGGGGTTCCCACAAGCAGGTCAGTCACCATTTGTCTGTGCAGGGGGAGTGTCAAGTGTGACCCTGTTACAGCGCTGTTTTTTGTCTTTATTTTTAGGAAGTATAGCTGGATCCCAGCAGTCAAGTTCAAGAGAGCAAGGTGAGCAGTAGCCTTTCTTGTTGCTGAGGTCTGAATTCTAAGGGGGCAAGTCTAAGTCTCCATTCTCATTTTTGTGCCTTAGGCAATCCACTTGGAGCACGCCAAGCTCCCGTCCCCAACCGGCCGACGGACCGAATTTTCCACCCTGAAGAGCCCCGTCTTCCGGGTAGCAGTCAGGAACCGCTGAGGAGTTGCGGTGAGTCAGGGAAGTAGGGAGGAGGACCGAGGGTCCACTCAGGTTTCAGCAACGCCACATCACCTCCTGTCCTCTTAATCCAGGCGTACCCCCCGAGGACGGGCGTCGGCCTCCGAGCGTGCCCGAAGCGTGCGACCCGAGGAGCCGGGCCTTCTTAGAGAGGGTGAAGGGTGAGTAGCAGACTTGTGGGGTTTTGGCTGACAGGCTGCCAAGATCAGGCACTGATGTTTGGTTTTCTTTAATATAGCTGTCTAAGAGACAACAGCCCAGTGACAGCAGGAACTTTGCAGCAGGCGAGGCGGCCTTTCTTCGCACCTGACACGGACCGGCATCCCCAGATGTCCGAGAGATAAGTAGAGGGCTACGACCCACAGAGGGGATGAAAGCGAAGTGCTGGGTTGGGACTCCTGGGGTCGGGGAGGGGAGGTCTTGAGTTGGCTCTGGAGATGAGGGTAGCCAAGAAGTGGCCCCTTAGGCCCCCTAAAAGCAAAGTCTCACTTTGGATCACAGTGCTGAGGTGCACAGGGCAGAGCAGTCCCGGTGTGTATTGTGTCACTTGTCTGTCGTGCATTATGTCTTGTTTGGGTGTCTCATGTCTTATCTTAGCCCTTTGAGGGGCCTATCAGAAACCTCGGCAGTATTCGTAGCAGCCACGATCTCCACGTTTCTTTGGCCCGGCACCCAGGCCATAAAACTTTTGACTCGGGAGCTTAGACAGGCATCAGAATTGCAACTCTTTGTAAGCATCCAGTCATGTCTTTTCAGGTCTTGTTCTGAGCTGTATGGACAGCTGCACCCTGCAAGGTTCTATTATGGTGGATTAGGACTTGTAAGAATGTGAGAGCAGGTAGAGGCTTCTCACCGTAGGGCTCCTGTGCATTCATCTTTGCAGTTCTTGGACTAAAACATTCAGTTTAGCATCTTCCTTCTCCAGGGCACTCTGAGCCTTATCAGCTCGCCATCGGTCTGTCTTACCTCGGTCATCTCATTTGGCATCTTCTCAGTCCTTGCAGTCATCCTTCTTGCCTAGAGATTTCTGTCCGTGTCCTGTGCCCATTGTTTGTCGTGTCCTGTCTGTCCTGTGTCATGGGTGTCAGCACACACATTTGTGCCGGAGCTGCTCTGCCCTGCCGCATAGCCTGGTGCAATAGGAGAAGCCTTGGGGAGTTGAAAGTTGTAATGTGGGCTGTACTTGGACTCTAGATGCTATTCCTAGGTTGACATAAGGTGTTTGCAGCTTTTGAGTTATCGTGCATGTGTTTGACATATGTTCTAACTTTCTTTCAGGTGCAAATGCATTACATCTGTGGCAGAGGGTTACGGTTAGGAGGTGCTAGGCCTTCTTAGGAGAATGGTGAGTAGCAGACTTGTGGGGTTTTGGCCGATGTGGTGCCAAGATCAGGCACTGATGTTTGGTTTTCTTTAATATAGCTGTCTAAGAGACAACAGCCCGGTGACAGCAGGAACTTCCCAGCCGGCGAGGCGGCCTTTCTTCGCACCCGACACGGACCGGCATCCCCAGATGTCCGAGAGATAAGTAGAGGGCCACGACCCACAGAGGGGATGAAAGCGAGGTGCTGGGTCGGCACTCCTGGGATGGGGGAGGTTTTGAGTTGGCTCTGGGCCAACTCAAGGTAGGGCCAACTACCTGAGGGGCTCTGGGCCAACTCTGAGGGTAGCCAAGAAGTGGCCCCTTAGGCCCCCTAAAAGCAAATTCTCACTTTGGATCACAGGGCTGAGGTGAGCAGGGCAGAGCAGTCCCGGTGTGTATCGTGTCACTTGTCTGTTGTGCATTATGTCTTGTTTAGCTGTCTCATGTCTTTTATCTTAGCCCTTTGAGGGGCCTACCAGAAACCTTGGCACCAGTCTTAGCATCTGTGCTCTCAGCGTTCCTTGGCCTGGCACCCATGCCATAGAACTTTTGACTCGGGAGCTCAGACAGGCATCAGACCCTCATCTCTTTCTATAAGCATCCAATCAGGTGTCTTTTCAGGTCTTGTTCTGAGCTGTATGGACAGCTATGTCCCGCCAGGATCCATTATGGCGGACTAGGACTCGAAGGAACGTGAGGGCAGGTAGAGGCTTCTGGCTGTATGATTCTTGGGCATCCATCTTTGCAGTTCTTGGAATAAATCATTCAGTTAGCATCTTCTTCCTCCAGGTTTCTCTGAGCCTCATCAGCTCACCATCAGTTTCACCTCGGTCATCTCCTTTTGCATTCTCTCAGTCCTCGCAGCCATTTTCCTTGCCAGGAGATTTCTGTCCGTGTCGCGTCCCTGTTGTTTGTCACGTCCCGTCCCGTGTCACGGGTGTCTGCACATATTTGTGCCGGAGCTGCTCTGCCCTGCCGCATAGCCCGGTGCAATAGGAGAAGTCCCGAGGACTTGAAGTTTGTAATGTGGGGTGTAGTTGGACTCTAGATGGGATTTGTAGATGGACACAAGATATCTGGAGCTCTTAAGTTATCCTGCAACAGTTTAACTCTTGTCCTAACTTTTTTTTCAGATTCAGATGGATTAAATCCGTGCCAGAGGGCCCCATCCCGGGTGAGGGATGAGCAGGTGAGACAGAGCAGGTGAGACAGTATTTGTTTCTGTAGAGGAAGCATAAATGGTGGCTGTTACAGCATTGTTCTTTGTCTTTCTTTTCAGGAAGTCAAGGCCGAGAGCAGCAGTCAAGGCCAAGTGGGCGAGGTGAGCATTGACTAGCGTACGGAAGCAATTGTTATTGCTGAGGTCTCAGTTTCTGGTGCAGCTTTAAGCATCTTTTTTTTTTTTTTATTTTAGGTGGTCTGCTTGCAATCTATCCTAGCCGAGCATATCTGTGCCAGGTGGGTGCGAGCCTAAGGTATCGGTGTGGCATACTTGTCAGATTTGGGAGGTTGTGTTTTCACAGTATCTCAGCATGCTTTTCTGCTTTGTTTCTTTGCAGGTGCTGTCGCTGCCCTAGGCACGCCAAGGAACAGAGGAGGGCAGGTGAGTCGGCATTTAGGCAGGCTGACTCATAGGTGAATGTTATGCAGCAGCATGCTAAGCATGTACCTTTCCTCTTTGCAGGTATCTTCTGGGCAGCCTCCGGAGTCAAATCAAGATTTGAGGTGAGCCGGGGCAGTGGTGCGGAGGAGTCCCGGGGATTACTGTTGTTGAGGGCAATAGTCACCTTTTCTGTTTTGTCTTAGGTACCCTGAGGAGGCTCTTAGCCAAAGCTTAGAAACGGCGACACCGAAGCACACGCGGAGAACATCTCAACGTCCACGTGCGACCGAGGATGGATTTTGTCCGCTCCTCTTCCAAAAGCTAAGTGTCGGGGCCAGCGGTCGGGAGAAGGGGAAAAACCTTTACTATCACAGGGGGCAATTTCATGTCAGCTTAGCGGAGAAGTCTGTAGCGGGACAGGCTCTCTGGAAGTAAAGGGAGAGGGTTTCTCCTCAGCCTCCCCAGAGCCTTTGCCGGGCAGGGCAGTTCCGACCCATCTCCACATTCTCGGGAACTTTGCGTCGTCCGCCTTCCTCAACTCGACGTCGTCACGGACCTTTCCCCCGAGGAGCTCGCCTTCAGGGCCGGAGCTACGGCCACGGTCACCCGGCAGTCGGCTTCCTTCTCTAGGCTCGCTGAGCCTCTCGAGCATCCTCTTAACTGCTTCGGCACTATCTTCTTTTAACGAGTTACAGTTCATCATCACGTGCCATTGTCATAGGGCTTTCTTTCCTTTGGCATCATCAGCCTCTGGCTCATCTTGCGCTAGGAATCTCAGGTCCATAAGTTGAAAGTGCTAGGCAGTTTACTCTTGTCTCTGTGTTACGCCATCTGTGTCTATGTTGTGTCATCTGTGTCCGTGTTATGTAGTCCGTGTCTAATGTCTTCCGTGTCATAGGCCTTTGTTACATCTCGACGCTTTACAGGCACCATTTTGTGCCATATAGGCAGTATTTTACCCACATTCCTTCCCAGATATAGCTTATTCTGGCATCTTTACATTTTTACTCTTTGAGACAGGAAGGATTACACAAGATTTTCTTATCCATCTTCCTTCTCACTACCAGCTTTGGTAGTGCTTTTTTTGCCATGCCATTATCTTGGACTTCTAGAGGGAGCGTCTTACACCCTCCTCAAGTGACTGCAGTTGTTCTGTAGGTTCCATCTTCTCAAAGGGTATGGGGCCCAACAATTAATCTTCCACAGAGTTATCTCAAGTTTTGGCTTATATCGTGTGTACCTATGTTGGCTTATATTGTGTGTACCTATATTGCATGTACCTTTGTTGGCTTATATTGCATGTACCTTTGTTGGCTTATATTGCATGTGCTTATATTGTGTATACCTAAGTTGGCTCATATTGTATAGGCTCATATTGTATAGGCTCATATTGTATAGGCTCATATTGTATAGGCTCATATTGCGTGTACCTGTGTTGGCATATATTGTATATGCTTATATTGCGTGTACCTGTGTTGGCATATATTGTATATGCTTATATTGCGTGTACCTGTGTTGGCATATATTGTGTGTACTTACACTGTATGTACACTTGCACTGTATGCGTTGGCTTATATTGTATGTACTTATATTATACCACTTATGATTGGAGCTGCCCTGCCCTGGCATGTAGTCACAGTTAGGTAGAACAGTTGTAAAAACTTTACTGTTCATCTGTCTTTTATGGGATTTTGGGTAGAAAATTTATTGGTCCAGAGCGGGGACAATTCCTAGCTGTCAGCCACTCATTGACCACTTCCTGTCGTCTCACAGGTCCTCGAGGCTACCGATTTCCCCAGAATCTACCATTCGACGTCAAGGAGCGGCAGCCAGCAGACGCGTCGGAGCACGTTCTTCGGCATCTCGAGTAAGGGCCACAGCGAGCCTGTAAGCGGGAAGAGCGTGTGAGCGTGTGTGAGAGCACATGACTGTGTCTGTCTGTGTCCACTCGTCTGTGTGTGTGTGTGAGCATATGCTGACTAGTTTTAACCTTGTATATGTGACTTTTGCTTTTCAGGTTTTTTAATTCATTTTTAAATTTAGAATAAAAAATCCCCAGCCGGGGGGTTTTTTTTTTTTCCCCCCCGGCTGGGTTTTTTTTTCCTCGGTCCCGGTCGGTCTGAGAGGCGACGTTCATCGCCAGAGTTTGGGCGCGGACCGTCCAGGGACCGGGGTTTTCGTCAGGCAGGAGGATTTTTTTGGAGGCTCCCGGGAACCGCGTTCCCGAGGAGCGGCGTGAATGCGTGCCGGGGGTTAGCACAGAGGTTGAGGTGTGAGTCAGCGTGGGTTTGTGTGTAAGCTGAAGGAAGTGTGTGTGTGTGTTGAAGGGTTCTAGGGTTTGTAACCTTGTATGACTTTTGCTTTTCAGGTTTTTCAAATAATTTTTAAATTTAGAATAAAAAATCCCCAGCCGGGGGGTTTTTTTTTTTTTCCCCCCGGCTGGGTTTTTTTTTTCCCCGGTCCCGGTCGGTCAGCGAGGCGATGTTCATCACCAAAGTTTGGGCGCGGACCGTCCAGGGACCGGGGTTTTCGTCAGGCAGGAGGATTTTTTTGGAGGCTCCCGGGAACCAGGTTCCCGTGGAGGGGTGGGAGTCCGTGCCGAGGGTTAGCAGAGAGTTTGAGGTGTGAGTCAGCATGGGTGTGTGTGTAAGCTGAAGGCAGTGTGTGTGTGTTGAAGGGTTGTAGGGTTGTAACCTTGTATGAGTTTTGCCTTTCAGGTTTTTCAACTCATTTTTAAATTTAGAATAAAAAATCCCCAGCCGGGGGGGTTTTTTTTTTTTTTCCCCCCCGGCTGGGTTTTTTTTTCCCGGGTCCCGGTCGGTCAGCGAGGCGACGTTCATTGCCAGAGTTTGGGTGCGGACCGGCCAGGGACCGGGGTTTTCGTCAGGCAGGAGGATTTTTTTGTGATCCTGGGAACCACGTTCCCGAGGAGCAATGATTACTGGGGTGTAATTTAGCAGTTGTGATGGCAGCGAGGGTGAGTTTGTGTGTCCTGTGAAGGGGGTGTTAATGGTAGATGAGTGTTGTTTTATGTGTGGTTTTGTTGTTTTGGGTGTCCTGTGACAATAAATCAACCTGTAATGAAAATAGAAAAAGGTTATCATCTTGTGTTAGTATGTGTTGTATTGCTCTGTATTGCTCTGTATTGCTGTGTATTGCATTTGCATTAGCTGCTGCATTTTGCTGTATTGCTGTGTATTGCATTTGCATTAACTGCTGCATTTTGCTGTATTGCTCTGTATTGCTTTTGCATTAGCTGCTGCATTTTGCCGTATTGCTCTGTATGTAAACTCGATTTTTACCAGTGCGTCTATGGATTGTATCTGCACTTGCATTTGTATACACTGTTTCCATGTATTTTGTTGATGTGTAAATGAAAACATTCTTTTAATAAAGTTGAGTCACCCTTAATAAAGATACCCCCTGCCCTTCTCTACCCCCACCGTGGCTCCTGTCTTTTTTTGGTGTGGTGTTGTCATTTCTTTCCACTGTATTTCTTCCTTTTGCTCCTCACTTTACTGTTCTATTTCTCCCTTAACTTCCATCCATATCTAACCCTTTGTTTCTGTTGCCTTCATAACTGTCTATCTCAGTCCTCTTGCTTCTTTTTCTTTCCACCTTCTCCTTTTCCTTGGTTTGTGTTTTTTGCTCTTAGTCCTTTCCTTTTTCAGCCCACTCCTAAGTTTTCACCTTCCCTCTAATCCTAACCACTTTCTTTTTCCCTCTAACTCCTGTCCTTCTTCAGTTCTCCCACCCTCCTTTTCTTGTCTCACTCTGTCTTCCTGTGTTTTCTTCTGTCTTCTTGTCTCTTCTTTGTCTTTTCCTATCTATCTCTTCTCCCTCTCTGTCTCCCTCTGTTCTCTCCTCTTGTTTGTGTCTTTGTCCCTGTTCTCTCCCTCTATTTTTTTCCAACTCTTTTCTCTCTCCCTTTTCTCTCTGGTTCTCTGTGCTTCTCTCTCTTTGTCTTTTCTCTCTGCTCCTCTGTCTTTTCTCTCTGCTCCTCTGTCTCTCTTTTCTCTCTGCTGCTCTGTCTCTCTTTTCTTCCTGCTTCTCTCTCTGCTTCTCTGTGTTTTCTCTCTGCTTCTCTCTCTCTTTTTGTCTCTCTTTCTCTCTCTCTCTCTTTTCCTCTTTCCTCTCTCTCTTTTGTCTCTCTTTTGTCTCTCTTTTGTCTCTCTCTCTCTCTCTCTCTCTCTCTCTCTCTCTCTCTCTCTCCTCTTCTCTCTTTTGTCTCTCTCTCTCTCTCTCTCTCTCTCTCTCTCTCCTTCTCTCTTTTGTCTCTCCTTCTCTCTCTCTCTCTCTCCCTCCTTCTCTCTCTCCTTCTCTTTCTAACTTTGTTTTCCTTTCTAGCTTTAGTTTAAAAAAGCAGCAGTAGAAACTTTCAGGCTCCCTGGGAGTAAAAAAAAAAAAAAAAATTAAAAAATAAACCATTTACTCCCCGGGAGCCTGAAATTTCCTACTGCTGCACCAGACATATAGTTTTTCTTCTTTTTACTATATACAGTATATAGGGATCCCACCTGTCAGCAATCAATACTAATCAGTAGTCCCCACCCACACCTACACACCCCTCCAGCCCACACACCCCAGACCCACCCCCTTCAAGCCAGCACCCCACCCCATGCCATTTACATATAAATCATGCAGTCACAGCGCCACCTGCCGTTTACTCGCAAGTACTGCACTCACAGCGCCACCTGCCGTCCACAACCGGGTACTGCATGCACAGCGCCCCCTGCTGCATGCCGGCCGGTACTGCACTCACAGCGCCCCCTGCCGCTTACCCCGCAGTACTGCACCCGCGGCGCGCCCCCGATGACGTCACCGGCGCGACACGCCCCAAAAAGGACCCCACTGCACAGGCGTCCCCCCCAATCGCCCGATCGAAACGGCACCCCCCACCCCGCGTCCCCCAGACCCCCACGCGCGCCGCCGCCGGCCCCACGCGAACCGGAACGCCATTCCGGCCCCGCGCAACCCGCAAAAAGCACGCAA